CACCGGCACCAGATGGCACCGAAACGCCATATCCTCAATTCTGAAAACAGTAAAAAGGCGTCAATGGTCGGAGGAAACTCCACAGACAAACCCCATGAGGACAGAAGATGCGTACGTTGTGTTGTGCAACTCCATCTCGAACTTGCGGAAGAGATACCCAAAGAAGAGATACAGCTCGCACCACGCGAGACTGTTGAGATAACACGAATCAGTGTTGAGACATTGCGTCGAGAGGCCCTGCATGAAGTATGATAGTACGTACTTGATACCCAGACATGTGCGCGGTCCTTTTGAGAAGGACGCGATGTAGGTGTCCAGATTTCCTTTCCCCTCGCCCAACCAGCGCTCGGGGCGGAATTCGTGCGGCTGAGGGAAGATGTCCGGATTCAGGTGGACGAAGGTCGAGCTCATAGACACGACCGCCTGTGACGAAAAACGTAAGGGCCCCGACGTGAGTATTTGTGATACAAGGAAACGTACCCCAGCAGGAACGGTTACCCCGGCGATGGTCGTGTCTGTGGGACCAACAACACGGGGGAGCGGATGTACGACGCCTTGCCCCACGCGGAGAGACTCCTTGATCACGGCGGTCTGTAAGGGATTCCTCAATGAGGATGTACCAATGCACACGAGGCACACAGGACACAGACCAAGTAGGGCAGCTTCTCCAGCGTCTCGTAGTGCATCGTCATATCAATCTCGGGCCACGCGTTCCTCAGTTCCTCGAAGAGCTTCTGGTGGATGATCGGGTTGTTGAGGACATGAAACACGCCCACGTTGAGAACATTGGCGACAGTCTCGCTACCTGCGGCGAGCAAGGTGACTGCCTCCTCCCACAGGACCTTCTCTGAAGGAATCTCCGTTTGCCCCTTATCCGGATGGAGCATCAACATATGATGAAGCGCGGTTTCGTGCTCCTCGTGCTCGACCAGCTCGGGACGCTCCCTCAGCTGGTGTATCTTGGCCTTCAAGCGGGTGTACGAGCCCCACAGCACGCCGTTCTCGGGGCGGAACCATGAGATGACAAGTGTCTTGAGTATGATGAGGGGTGTCATCCACGGAAAGTGAACGTAGTAGTGAAAGAGCGGGGCCGCCATCTCGGATTCGACGACGAACTTGTGTGCAAAGTTGGGCGCGGTGACGAAGTCCTCGTGGGTGGCGAAACAGTAGGCATAGATCAGCTCCATGGCGGCTGACCTGCACGCGCGGTGGATGTTGGCCGGCTTGCCGGACTCTGCGTAGTGTCCTAGCTGCTTTATGAGGCGAGTGACCTGTACAGAAGTTGTGAGAACCTGAAAAGTGAGACCGATGGGCTCATCGGTTACCTTAGATCGCACCACATGCTCTAGCTTGAGGATGGCACGGCGCGAGAACAGCGGTCCTAGGATGTCCCTCCGAGTCTTGATCTCCCGGAGGTCGATAATACACAGCGAAGCTTCGTCTTGGTTGAACTTCCCTTGGTACATTCTGGGGTCTTTGGTGAAGCGGTGGCCATGGAGGTAGATGTCGTCGTAAGCACCAAGAGCGTTGAAGTGCAACTGAGTCCTTGTTAGAGCGGTGGGGGAGGATCTGTAGTCAACCATACACTGACCTGGTCAGGACTGATTCTGACTACAGGACCTATTGCCATAATGAGCGCGCCGCGTCGAGTCTCAGGAACAGCTTCAAACACACCATATCTCTTGTGGAGCTCAGCCAAATGGTCGACAAACGCACCGTTTTTGAAGACCTCGTAGTAGGTCATGTACCACCATGTCGCTGCAGCGAGTTTAGGACCAGGGAAATGAGCCAACGGATGAAAGACGAGGCGCTTGAAGAGGATGACAGCGCACGCGCCGAGCAGGGCTAAGGCGATGTTCCGGGGGCTCAGAAGCTCGAGGGACATGATGGACAGCCGCGGTCGACCGTCGGAAGACGGAGCGTGCTTGCTGTCCTCTCACTCATATATGCGCATAGGTAAACGGCGTCGGTAAGCCGTCTGTGTGCATGCATAGTAGACTAGCCTTGCGCCCAGGAAGCTGTTGAATGAGTTGGGCGCACTTTGGGCGGTGTGTAGCGGCTTATTAACGCAAACCCCAGTCAGCGGTAGAAGCAGGGTAGAAGCCTATGACTTACAAGTAGTCTTGATCTCGAAGGCATGATTTACTCACATGTACCGAGATGGGAGTTCGGCGAGGACGCTGCGCATGGCGGCGAGCGGCAGCGTTCGACTCTTCGAGAAATGCCGCGACGCCGCGACACGCTTGTTCGACCACGTGACCGCGGTAACCTACGTGTCCATTGCGAGCAGTGAGGTCACCGCGGTCCGCCAGCGCTGTCCGCTCGCTCACAACTGCTCTGCTTCTTGGACCCTCTACTCGCCGCGCCCATCTTGCCTGCTGTACTTGTATTGCTCTCTGTGGCTAACCTGACACGATGTCTTTCATGGACGAAATCCGCAAAATTCCGCCTGTCACTCGCTTTCTGTGCGGCTCCTTGCTTGGGGTGTCGGTGCCGATGATGATGCAAGTCGTATCGCCGTACAAGCTGTTGTTTGTGAGGGAGCTGGTGACACGCCGATATGAGGTGAGCACGGCTTAATTGACCTGCTTCCGGTGTGCCGCACATACCGTGCGGGTGTACTGGTTCTGTTATGGAACTTACACCGTCGTGTGCTAGGTTTGGCGTGTGTTCACAAGCTTCTTCATTGGAGGTGCGCCGTTCCTTCATGCTGCCCTATAAGAGCACCGAGATGCTCATGCCCGGTGACAAACAGGCAGTGGAATCAACTTTATATTCGACCTCGCAATGTTCTAGTACGTCGTATTCATCCCGCATCTCACATCAACTCCAACCAATCCCCACGGGCTTCAGCCGCAACTCAGATGAGCTCGAGTCAAGACACTATGCCGCCCGCTCTTCAGACTACGCATGGCAGCTCTTCTGGGCTGCCATGGGCATCCTCGTACGTCCCTCCCACCTCTCATCTAACGTCCCGGTCACTCCAGCTCACCGACCCACTCTACCACACCCAAGGCCCTCAACATCCCCCTCCGCACATTCGTGCACACCCGCGCGCTCCTCATCGCGCTCACCTACGTCTCGTCCGCGCTCGCCCCCGCCGGCTCGCAGACGTCCTTCTGGGGACTGATCACGCTCCCCGTCAAGTACCTCCCCTACCTCTTCATCGCCATGGACTTCCTCATGGGCGGCCCGTCCGCGGCCGCCGTCAGCATCTCCGGCGCTGTCGTCGGCCACCTCTGGTGGTGGGGCGTGCACGACACGGGTGCGCTCAGAGGGTGGGGGAGCGCGCCGTCGTGGGTGCGGAATCTCATGGGCGAGCGCGGTGGGTTTGCTGGGGCGGTGAACATGGGTGGGGTGCATGTTGTTCCACCGAGGAGAGCTCAGGAGCCTGAGAACACGGCGGGACGCAACTGGGGCCCGGGTCGGAGGCTGGCTGATTGATGTGCCTGGGGTGTAGCTGAGGGTTGTTTGCTGCTTGGTTGCTGTGAGTAGGCTTCTCGTTGTGTCGTCTGCCCTGGACTCGCCCTGACATCTGTTGCAGATGATGTGTCGTGACATGTGCGATATATCGGAGTTTGTGTTCCTTCTGCACGAACTTGTCTCAGCACCTGTAGGTCATGCCCGGGTTTGGTCCAGCTGCGACAACACGCTGAGCCCCATGGGGCACGCTGTGGAACGACGGCCAACGTAAGAAGTGCTGTAGCGTTCAGCTGATGTTGGCATGTCAGTAGCGAGCTGCACTCGGTTGTATGCGTGTGTTTGTTCAACACGCCAATCCACAACGTAGGCACCGAGGTGAGGGCCTTTACCACGCGATTCTCAGCAACCAGCGACCCTTATATCGATACAAAGATTCTCCAGTAGGAGATTTTCAAGGCTTACATCCCCGAGGTCCCACTCACGCAGCGTCCTTTACACCGTATTGCTCCCAATACTCCTTCATCTTCTCCAGCTCCTCCGTCTTTCCGTGCTCTTGCAGCCAGAGCATGAGATCACGCATGGTGAGGATCGTCGGCACACGCCCCTTTCCTCCAAGCAGCTCTTCGACCTCCGTGATCGCGTTCCGCCCCTCCTTCCCGACCTCCTGCCTATCCAGCAAGAGCACCGCACCGACAACCTCCCCGCCCTCCCGCCGCACAAGATCGATTGCGCCCCGGATGGCAGTCCCGGCCGTCGCAACGTCATCGAGGATCACGACGCGCTTGCCCTTGACGGGCGCGCCGACGAGCACGCCGCCCTCGCCGTGGTCCTTCGCCTCCTTGCGATCGTACGCGAAGCCGACGTCGATGCCGTGCTCGCGGTGGAGGAGGAGCGCGGTGCCCGCCGCGAAGGGGATGCCCTTGTACGCGGGGCCGAAGAGGACGTCGAACGGCGGGAGCGCGTGCTCGGCCTTGAGTGCGGCGGCGAGCGTGGCGGCGTATGCGCCGCAGAGGGTGTTGAGGACGGGCCCGGACGCGAGGAGGCCTGCGTTGAAGAAGTACGGAGACTGGCTGGGGGCGGGCGGGCGGGCTGTGAGAAGTTTGCGCAATCAGAGGATCGGGGAGACGGACCGGCCTGATTTGAGCGTGAAGGAGCCAAAGAGGAGAGCGCCTGCGGAGAGACTGTGCTCGATGAGCTCTGTCTGGTACTGACGGAGAGACATCCCGCTCGTCTGTCGCTGAAGACCGTTGTGAGCGTGGTGGAGGAAAGGCTCTAGGTTGGGCGCGGTGCGGCCTTATCATGATGTCATTCATTGTCACCGATCAGCCCAGGGACATAGATCTACTAGAAGAGTCATATAAGTACCTCAGGTTAGGACAGGAGCATCGACAAGCTCCTTGCTACACACGTAAGCCTAATGTCACCTATGTGCGTATGCAAAATGGCCGACATCAGACGGACACCTAAGCTAGGTAGCGAGTGGAATACAATCGACCTGCTCGCAGTCAACATCCGTGTTGTGCACCCTTTTCTTCATCGCCAACAGAGATATATGCTGCATCCGGGTAGTCACCAATGGCCGCCTGGCGTAATGGCAACGCGTCTGACTACGATGACATCGTGCGTTCACGGTGTGGTTAATCAGGAGATTGCAGGTTCGACCCCTGCGGTGGTCACTTAGAAGTCTGAGAAGAGATGTTTTGTCGCTAGATTATCGTCAAGGCATGTTAGGACACACAACCTCGCTACTACAGTCTACAGTCTCGACATTTTTTCCTTCTCGACATCAAGAACACATACCAACACGCCTTCTGGTACCACTGCGCCGATCTCGACACCCCTCCCCACCCTCGACACTTTCCCGCTCCTCTCAGCGCTCACAACGCTCTCCATCTTCATCACGCTCACGACCACCAGAGGCTCGCCAGCGCGGATGAACCCGGGCTCCGGCGCAACGAGCGCAGGGTGCAGCTCCACGATCTTCCCCGCAAGCGGACACGACAGGTGCGTCGGGTCCTGCACATTGGCAAACTCGACCTGTGCAGAGGTAGGGACCGCCGCGAGCTGCGTGAGGGAGAACGCGAGCGGGGTGGGAGCGAGGGACGTGGTGAGCGTGCCGGAGAGCTCGGTGGGGAAGGCGTTGTGGCCGATGGTCGATAGGACCAGGTTGTGTTTCTGAGTTGAGTCTTGGGCACCTGGAGCACCGGGGTTTGGTGGGGAGATGGAGAGCTGGAAGGATGCACCGGGTTGAAGGATTATGGTATCAGCCGAGCCAGAGTTCGTAGGAGGGGAACGAGAGCTTTCTGATGCGGTGGTTTGAGATGAGTTCCTCTGTTCGCCGAGCCGCTCCTTCCCATGCACGAGCACCTCGTCGATATGCTCCTCTAGCCACCGCGTGTGTATCTTGGCATCGCGCCAGTCAGGATGGGAGACGACCCCGGCCAACAGTTCCACGTTCGTCTTCACTTCTCCAGATAGACGGAGTTCTCGGAGAGCACGTTTCGCCCTCGCGGTGGCTTCGTCGAATGTTTCCGCAGAGACGACGAGCTTTGCGAGAAGGGAGTCAAAATCGACACCGACAGTCCATTCGAGGGGAAGAGACGTATGAGGGCCGGCGCACAGCCATGTGTCAACCCGAACGCCTCTTCCCGCGGGCCACCACACGTCGGACGGCTGGATGGTGCCAGGGAACAAGCGGAACGAATTGTGTGGATCCTCAGCGACGAGGCGCATCTGGATGGCATGGCATCGAGGTCGAACGGACGAATACGCCGACTGCGGGAGCACGTCTCGTAGAGATGTCCCTGGCACAGAAAGGAGGAGTTGCACGCGGACTAGGTCCACGCCCACGACTTCCTCTGCACGAGACTGTCAGCGTATAGCGTTGATGACCATATGAGTCGGCTGGGGCTTACCTGTAACCGTATGCTCGACCTGAATGCGCGGGTTGATCTCGAGGAAGATCCATTCATGGGACCGCGCGTTCACTAGGAACTCGAAGGTTCCTATACCCGCATACTTTAGCTGTCGGGCCATTTTCATCGCAGCGTCCAGTAGAGGCTGAATTACGGCAGGCTCCAATGTGGACGGGGCCATCTACCATCTCATTGAGCGGACGGTCCGGCGAGGTTAGGTCACACTGACCTCGACAATCTTCTGAAACCTATACAAGTCAGCAATGCGCCCTGTGAAAGACACCTGTGTGGTACGCACCTCCTTTGCACACTGCATTCCCGCTCCCACAGATGAACGACCCCGCCGTGGCCGTCACCCACGATCTGCACCTCAACGTGCTTCCAGCCTGGTCCAACGAGTGCTTTCTCTGCAAAGACTCGCTTCGATGGACTCTCCCCTATACACCTTGTGGGTGATCAGCGAACGCAAGCAGACCGCGTACGGCTCGCAACTACACACCGCTTATATGCGTCTTCAATAGCGTCCACACTGCTCACGAGGCGGATACCACGTCCGCCGCCACCGTCCAGAGCTTTCAGTACAATGGGGAAGGCACTACTACCCAATTGCGCCACGAACTGGTGGATATCTCCCACAGAATTGACGCGAGTACCAGGGGCTACAGGGACGCCGCACGAGGTGGCCAAGTCGCGGGAGAGCATCTTATCCGAGGCAATATTGAGAGTCTCAACGGACGGACCAATGAATATCGGGCGAGCGGTGCGCGACGTAGAAGGGCTTGTGGGGGCGGTGAATAGCGACGCGAACTCCGGGCTTTCGCTCAGAAATCCATAGCCAGGATGAACATGGGTGCAGTTCATTCTGGCCGCGAGGTTAGGGATGTAGAACGGTATGTATGCCCGGTCACTGTTACTCACCGAATGGCAACGTCGGCCAGATGCTGGGGATCCATGTACCGAGCGGGAGAATCCAGTAGGACTGCCTCGTCCGCATAGGAGGCGTGCGACACGTCCTTCTCAGTGTACAGCGCGACCCTTCGCCATCCGAGTTCTTCAGCGGTACGACAGATGCGCACGGCAACTGTAAGGGGAATGGCAATTATTGAGACTGGGTGTTGGGGCTCGCGCGCGTGCAAAAACACTCACTTTCACCACGGTTGGCAACCAAGACCTTCGGGTTGTCCATCCTGCACTTCGAACCCGTCGACGTACAATTACAAGAGGGCTTCATCCGGCTGCGGAGGATGCCATAGGTGGGAGGGGGCTCGTGATTCGAACGTGGACGCGGCGATCATCGTGACCGAGTCCGGCTTCCGCGAGAATACAGCAGCTTCCGCGAGACGACATGTCGCAGCAACAGACAAGTCAAGCACAGTGAGTCTTCCGCAAGCTGAGATGCCGAAACGTGCACAAAGCCCAGGCGCCACGGGGTCGCCGAAGGAGGACAAGTCGGAGGGCGCGCCGACCAGCGTGGGCTCAGAAGCAGACGACGGCGTGACCTGGAAGGTACTCCCCCGCACTCAACTACCCCGCATCGCTACCCCAACTCATAACCTCTTGCTCTGGCACCACAGTATGCCGTTCTCAGGATACGCAATGTGCAAACCGTGGTCCGCACACCAAACCCCCAAGACCCGGGCTACGCAAGGCAGAAGCAGAACGGGAAGCTCTGGGTGCGCGAGAGACTGGACGCCCTCCTCGACACAGGCTCGTTCAGTGATGTCGGGTCGCTGACGGGCAAGCCAGTATGGAATGAGGCCACGGGACAGCTGAAAGAGTTCATCCCTGCGTAAGTGAGCCTGTGGCCTGCGCGTTGCATCAAAGTCGGTGTCTCCTGAGCACGAACGGCAGGAACCAGATCACAGGTTGGGGCAGAATTCAAGGCCGTAAAGTGTTTGTAACGGCAGATGACTTCAGCGTCCGCGGCGGGCACGCTGATGGCGGTATCCAAGGCAAGGCTGCTTTCGCCGAGGTGAGATGTGGAGCCATTGAATGACCGCCGTATATTCTATTCTAACTGTTGATGATCGCAGGCACTCGCAACACAGCACAGAGTCCCCATTGTATGCGTTCAAGGTACTTCATGCGCCATTACATGATGTTGAACCCTCAGTAGATTCGCCTGCTCGACGGTTCCAGTGGCGGCGGCAGCGTTGCAACTTGTGCGTACTTCCCGGCAAAACTCAGCGCATTTAGTCACTCATTCTTCACAATACCGCGGTGTAGACCTGTCCGCTGGGATGACATACATTCCGCCACTTGCGGGGCTCGGTCAGAGCATGACCGCGATGACTGTCGTCCCTGTCGTCAGCGCCCTACTCGGTCCAGTCGTTGGCCTTGGGTCTGCAAAGGCCGTCACCAGTCACTTCACGTACGCCTTGGCAAGCTCGCATTTGCTCCTTCTTAACTATCTGATGTCTCGCATCTAGTGTCATGGTGAAGGGACTGAGTCAGGTACGCACACTCTCGTATGCATACCCTTGCCTCTACTGAACATGCGCGTACAGCTGTTTGCGGCTGGCCCACCTGTGGTTAAGCAGGCCACCTTCGAAGACCTCTCCAAAGAACAGCTCGGCGGCTGGGAGATCCACGGTCGCAATGGCACTGTGGACAACATTGCCACTTCCGAGCTCGACGCGTTCCGCCAGATCCGCCTCTTCCTATCCTTCCTACCCTCGTCGGTCCACTTCCTGCCACCATCCCGCCCTTCTCCCGATCCCGCGGAGCGGAGGGAGGAAGCCCTTATCAGCATCATCCCTCGGCGGCGCGCACGGACGTACGACATCCGTAAACTCGTGCGACTCATTGTCGACATAGACTCTCCGACTCCAACCACTCCCGTGGCTGGCGAAGAACAAGATCAGAGTGATCGTTCGTCATTCTTCGAGATCGGGGCAACCTGGGGTAGGTCGGTGGTCACAGGGCTCGCCAGGCTTCGCGGCCGGCCAGTCGGAGTCCTGACCAGCGACTGCACGGTGGGAGGCGGGGCTCTCGATGCCCTCGGCAGCCAGAAGGCCGCGCGGTTCGTGAACCTCTGCGACCACTTCGGGTGAGCGTGCCTTTCATCCTTCCTAGTCCTCGCCTACTCACCGACCGTATAGACTGCCGCTCCTCAACCTAGTCGACCAACCAGGCTTCTCCATCGGTACGTCTCATCCCGTATCCGCGGGCGATAGCCATCCACCTAAGACCTGAGTCCAACCCAACTCTTGACAGGGTCTGCTGCCGAGCGCATGGCGACAATCCGCCATGGCGTCTCCATCATGTCCGCCCTCTACCACGCCACGGTCCCCATCTTCACCGTCGTCCTGCGCCGGTCATTCGGCGTCGCAGGCGGCGCCCTGTCCGACCCCGGGGACGGCCTGAACACCCGAGTCGCTTGGTGCGTCGCGCCCCTCACCCCCTTCTATTGACACAAAACGCTGACCGAACTTGAAACCTCTGCACCCGCAGGCCGTCAGCGGACTGGGGCAGTCTCCCGCTCGAGGGCGGGATCGAGGCCGCGTACAAGCGACAGCTCGAGGCGGCGCCGTCGCCCGCGGCGCGCGAGAAGATGATGACGGACCTCCTTGCCAAGTTCGAGCACGTGCGGGACCCTCTCCGGACGGCACACGCGTTTGGGATCGAGGAGATCGTCGACCCGCGCGACACGCGGCCGCTGGCATGCGATGTGAGTACCAATGACAGCGCCGTAGAGAGGAAAGGGCCTGACGGATGCGACGCATACACAGTGGATCGAGCACGCGTACGAGCATTTGTTG